CTGATGAGATTTTCTCTGATGGCCTTCTAAGGCCTATGTTTGTTGACCCTTTATCAAAAGTAGAGTTTTGCAATACCCCTGATCCTACTCAAACCAGGCTTGGTTCTTCATTTTCTTCTAGAACTTTTTCTCCAAAAGCTATGGAAATTCATCATGGATTGCTTACAAGGTGGAGAAAATCAACAAGGAGAACTTTGGTGGACTTCTTTAGGTATGTCAACCAATTAAGGCAGAAAGTAGGGCGTTCAAGGAAAAGCATCAGAGTTGATGATATTGATAAGACAGATTGGCAAGTTAAATGCTTGAGCAGTCCTCAGAAAGCATCACCAAAACCAATCACAACTCATCTTATTGGTGATTTGCATGATTATGAGAACTCAATTTATGAAGCAGTTCTTCATTGCAAAAGATCAATAGGTATATTCATGCTTTTATTTTATTTCATTTCTATTTTTGTGTGTGTTTGTACATATATATATATATATATATATAGAAAAATTAAATTAATTAATTCTCTTCTTCTTTTCAGGAAAATGATCCTTCCTCAGGTCAAGAGAAGTGAATTGTAGAAGGAAGTGGAGAGCTCCTAGAAACTATGGTGATTGGTGGCTGATTGAGCATTCCAATTTTTTTCTTGGTCTAGTTTTTTTCTCTCTTCTTCTCTCTTGGATCAGTTAGATGTTACTTATATTTTTCTGCCAAAAAAAGTAGTTTGTTTTGGTAGAAACCAGCTATGGGATTTAGAATGTCATATTTCAGGAAATGTTGGATCCTATTGCTCCTTGATTTTGTACAGAAATAATTAGTATCACATACTGTGTATGTTTTATTTATATTTTAGAAGGCTAAGTTTCATCTCCTTCTATCTTTTTTATTTATTAAGAATAAGAATGTCAATAAATTTTTGTTCAGATCAAGGTTACCCTAAGCATTGAATTTGATATTTCTTGCATCTCTGCCAAGAAAAACAGGATGTCCAATTTTTTAAGTGTGAACCATGACAAGAATTTGACAGAACCTAAATCTTTAACAACTTGAATTATCAACATAAAATACCGAGTTGTACTTGTAGCATAATAAATTATTCTCTTTCTTGAGTAATAATTCTTTCCCTTTCTAAATGTTATTTCCTAGAACCTCCATTATGTGCCTCAGTGAGACAAGGTATCAAGACATAACGTGCTACAAATATAGAAGGGTAGCACTTCCTGCAAGAGTGGCTGCTAAATTAAGCATCCACAAGCTTAATCTGGTTGCTACTCTGTCAGAATCTCCACCAGTTGATGCTACTTTCCAAATTAAAGATTATTGCAATAAACCACCAAGGCCAAGGATGGAGCCAAAAATAGAATTGTTGGTATAGATAAACCATATGATCAATGAAAATCCAAAAGAATAAAATATAATAATATCAATGTTTTATTTGCCAGTGTTTCACATTCACAACAATTTTGGGATAGGGAATATTTTTTTCAAGTAATCAACTATATTTATCACATGTAAAATGTTTTATGAACAAGAATTTTGGGATTACTTTTGAGATATATGTAAATGGAAAAGGATAAGAAAAAGAAGTAAAAAGTATAGATAAGTAAATATTATTGAACACACCAATCAACTGGTACAAATTTTTCTAACTTAACCAAAATGACCTTAAATTTAACTCTTAATATATAGTTGTTAAATATTCGAAGAAAGTTTTCTCGTTTCTAACTGTTCTACTCCTTCCCAACTAATACAGGATTGTTTCCATATTTGTGATTTCATAATTTTTTTTTTGAAATAATTATATATAATAATCACAAATTATATTAACTTATTGATATTCAAATAAAAGAACCCTACTCTTATCTACTCCAAAAATTTTAAAAATCCTTTGGGATAGTCGTGAATAGGGCATCCTTCAATTAAAAAAAAAAAAAAAAAAAACTCTAAAAGTGAAATACTTAGGGAAGTTTGCAATAAATCAGAGAGTCACCAGAGAGTCTTCTCTGGACCATTTTGATTGAACATGTTATAAATATAAAAGTCACAACCTGAAGATTTTACAGAAAACATGGTATTTTTGCAACTCTATTAGTGTGAGTATTCTAATTCTTTTATGCCACTGACATATACTAATTTCTTGGCACAGAAAGAGAAGGTTGGTGATATGGTACCCTTTGAAAACAAGGGAGACAAGGAGGGCACAAAGGACAAACAATGTTGGGAGAAAAATCCATAGGTGATTCCATCACCATAATTCCTGCAGCTAATTTACATTCTTTGTTCTCTTGTTGAAATATGCTTGCTCCTTATCTATGATGAGCCACTAGAAAGTGACCTTGACTAACCCTTGAAGCTTCCCTAACTAATGTGGACAACATGTCACTACACTTCATTTGCTTGCTTGTGATCATAAAATCACTGCCCATCCCACTCAATGTGGCCTCTCTTCAAACATGCTCTTGACAAATAGGGCAACCCAGTGGTGGAGGTTGCCATGGCCCCAACAAAAAATAATTTAAATTCATTTTTAATAAATGTTTAATCATTGATCACAAAAAATAAAAAATTTTGTCAATTCCATACTTTATTAGCCCTTTTCATCTAAGATAAAATATCTAACCCCTTCATGCATGCCATGAAAGAAAAGAATCAATGTAACACTAATAATTGTAGAAAACTATAGGATGATCTTTGTGCTTAACTAGTTAGTGGCAAGTGGCCACAGCATGTTACAATGGCATTGTTTAGGATATTGTTGTTGTGGCTTGCGATTAATAACTGAAAGTAAAAATAAAAAAAAAAAAACACCAATGACATTTTGTGCATGACATTGAAAATAACTACACATTTCTTTTCATTGGATGTAATTAAATGCTGTGCACTAGCACTATACGATTGTTGCAACTGCATGGTGAAATTTGAACCAGCCACGTGATCACACGTGGCACATTGTCAGCAAAGTTGAGATTTTTTTATTTATTATTAAAAATGTTAATTTTTTGTTAAGGGGTGAAGGGTCCCAAATGAAAGTAACTGGTTGGGGACCAGTTCCTTTTGTGTCACCTCGATGCTGTTTATGTTATCATTTTCTTACAGTTATATGCAGTTGCAGAATAAGATGACTAGACTTGAAGTTGGAAGAGAAAATAGTTACAGCTCAATTGGAGATTAAAATGTTTGCATGCAATACGACAAAGTAAAGAACATACATGCATCATGCATGTAATGTAATGTGAAGGAATGTTCTGGATCATGGAGTCCTTGATTAATTGTCATGGAATTCTGATAGATGTCTAGCTAGCTACCTTCATCCTCTTGTCGCTTTTATAAACCAAAGATCAAATTCCTAATTACCTGTATGTTTAAGAAAAAGTTATTTATGAATGTAACATCTTAAAAGTATATATAAATTAATAATGCTTGGAATTAAATCTTATTTGGTGATTACATGGTCTTTTAGAAATGTTATGAGTTATATTTAGTATCAACAGTTATAAAACATATAATTATTACGAGCATAATGATACCCAAATGCCTCATTCAATAAATCATAAGTTATATAATGACTAGTTGGGGGTAAAGGAGTTTTATGAGTTCAGTACAACACCTATTGTTGGTCAAACTCATTTAATTCCAAGGTTATAAACTTCCACGTTTGCACTCTTGCCACCATTTTAATTTGTGAAACATTGCTCAATTCTTTATTGAAAAAATGTCATGAATATTCTCATACATAATTTAAAATAAAAATAAAAATATACTTTATAAACTAAAAAATTCTTATCGTAACTAAATTTTTTTACATTAATTTAATTTATTTATATTTTACTATATATATATATATCACTTATATCTATAACAATAAATAAAAAAATAAAAAAAAATTATCGAATCCAACGTTATTAAAATCATTATAACAACATTGTATTTCAACAACTAACATGTCTTTTAAGACTAAAATAAGAAGAAAAAAGTACATTCAAAAAAAGTAATTATTTACTTACTTTACTGATAATAACTATTCACTTACCTTATTATTTTTTTTAACAAAAATATAGTGTCTTTTTTTTCTACTAGTTTAGATAACAAGAATATGTTCCTTGATTTACCTTATGAGATTTTAACCAAAAAAAATTAGCATTGTATTTCGTATGATTAGAATTCTAACAATAAAACTATATACACATTTTTTTATTACAAAATTAAAATAATATATACTAAAAATAAAAGTGATTACATAATATTTTTTAAATGGATTGGTTATTAAACTAGTTTATACATTGATATCATAATTAAATTATAATCAAATCAGTATTTATATAATAATAATAATAATTATTATTATTATTATTATTATTATTATTATTATTATCATTATTATTATTTTTATGAACATAAAAATAATTTTAAATATATATAATATTATGATTTTATAATACTAAAAAGTTAAAATAAAATTATTTATAAGTTTTTAACATTCAATATATACATAAGAGTCTAAATTAAATATAATATAATATTTAAATCAAAATTTCAATAAAATATAACAACATTGATTAATAAGAACAAGTTGACATCTTAAATTAAATGTGTCAAAATAATATGATTTAAATGATAAAAATTTAAGATATAAAATTGCAAATTACATAAATGATTTATTTTAATTTATAATTTTATTAAATATGAATTTTAATTTTTACTAAAAGGACGTAAAAATTAAATTTTAAAAAATATTTTTATTTGGACTGGTTCAAATTGGTTTCTCTAGACCACTAGGGTTAGCCTAGTGGTTGGGTGGAGAGGAATTGGAGTAGTTAGAAGCATGATGACCTAAATTTAATCTTCATTCCAACCATCTTTGTAATTTTTCCTATCTTTACTATAAAAAAAAAAAAAAAAATGGTTTCTCCACACCAGTTCTAACCCAATTCAATCGGTTATGAGATACTCCAATTTTCTTTGTTGTCAAATTGAATATTTGGTTTCTAGTTTGATCGGTCGAACTTGGTGGTTTGATTTGATTTTCAAAATTATGAGACTATCCCATTTTGTGTATACGTATTTTGGAAGAAGAAGAAATTACTACTCTTTTTTGATAAAAACTATTAAAATTGTTAATAAATAAAAACATTAACATTTTTAATGCAACCTATTATAAGTTAGTTATTATATCTATATTTATATTATAACTAATATTTCAAGTATATAACTAAAATTTATAATAAGTTATATATATAAATAAATAAATATTTAAATAGATAAGTTATATATAAAACTTGTATAAATAGATATTTTTTAAATAAAATAATTAATACATTTTAGATTTATGATAAATAATAATATATGTCAAAGCAAAAAAATATTTTTCATTTATTAAATATTTATTTTTAATATTAATATTTAATTCATAAATAATTTATGATAAATAAAATCAAAAATTGTTAATAAATAAAAACATTAACATTTTTAATGCAACCTATTTTAAGTTAGTTATTATATCTATATTTATATTATAACTAATATTTCAAGTATATAACTAAAATTTATAAAAAGTTATATATATAAATAAATAAATATTTAAATAGATAAGTTATATTTAAAACTTGTATAAATAGATATTTTTAAATAAAATAATTAATACATTTTAGATTTATGATAAATAATAATATATGTCATAGCAAAAAAATATTTTTCATTTATTAAATATTTATTTTTAATATTAATATTTAATTCATAAATAATTTATGATAAATAAAACCAAAAATAGAGAAGAAATAAAAAAAAATCTCTATAAACTCACTCATTGAAAAAAAAAAATCCATAAAAACACTCTCGTATAAGATAGTA